AGAGATCTTTCAAGGTACAACTTAGTTCAATAAAACAGATTTTGTTGTAGAAAGTGTTTAATTTCTGGTAGTGTTTGGGCTAATGACCTGAATGGTACTAGCATAGAGGTGGCGTTAAAACCAGAACTTCTTGGAAAAGCAAGAAGTGTAATTGAAGGTATTGAAGGTGGTTTTGCCTTCAAACACCAAATGGAAATAGCAACTAACTGCAGGAGCTGCAGAACAATGAGGTTCAGAAAAGGCTTCTCTAGACTAAAGCCACACTGTGAAAATAATGTGAGCTTTTCTGGTTTGGGGGTGGGGAGGAAGTAGTGGGAAGGTGAGTACTGTTGGCAGGAGGGTGTAGACATACCATCATTGATAAAGACACCAACAAGTAGAGGTGAGGAGGACCAGAACTTCAAGTTACTGAATAGCAAGGACAGAATCTTTTATTTCATGTTTCTATCCACTACTAATTGTCAGTACTAAGCATTAAACATATGTCTACCATATCATGAATGGATCATTACTGCTTTATGGAACCAAGTAGGAAATGAAGAAAGGTGTTTGATGTATGGACTTGCAGTTAAGTCATCCACAGTCACTGCCTTTGAAGAAGTTCTGCATGATACAACGTAATGTTTGCAAACATGAGTGCTTTCTAAAAGCTACTGTAAGAATTTTAATCTTGGCAAGTAGATGATAAGTGTACCATTGTTTGATGAAACTATCTGTGGTAGAAATACGGAATTGCCTGTATATAACATCCTCCCCATGAAGTAACTTAAGTCTTGCTTTCCTACGTGAGTTATTTAGTTTGGAGCAACAAATTTTACGCAGTCATAGCTTGTCTGTCTTGCTCTGCTCTGACCTAGGACTTGAAGCCTAACAAGATCATTAAATATTTTTATCGTTTCCAGTAATAGGTTCAAAACATTCAGTGCAACTACGTTTTGTTCATGCAGTACTAGTTCCTAGATATGTTCCTAAAATCATGCAAAATAGGAGTTTTAGATTGCTGGTTTGCAATGAACCACATCTTATAAAGGAAGAGAGCCTGTTGGCCAGCTCAGGATTCCCAGTTGTGAAAACACGTTGTGTGGCCAAAATGGTCTTATCTGTTGGTATTTGATTGTAAGATGTGTGGTTGCTCATTCTCATTTCAACTGTATCTGCAGTGATAGAACACTGTAGTGTTTGTTAATGTGCATGGAAACGTGCAGGAAAGACTCAGTATTAGATGACTCTTGAGCATAATGTTAAAGAGAATCTGGAAAAACAAAATCTCAGGTGTATCATGTAAAATCTCTCTTAATGGAAACATTGAAAATGACCAGACAGTTGTGAGCAAACTGATCAAAATTGCCTTTGCTTTAGTTGACAAAATGGCTTTCAGAGGTCCCATCAAGCCAAAATTATTCTGTAAAGAATAACAATGCTCAGCAACAACTGAAAGATCTATAAAGTTTATTTTTATCTTAAATCTAGAATAGGGCATCATATCAGCAACTCGGAAGAAAATTATCCCAGCCCAAACCAGGACAACTTGTCTTCCATGATTGCCTCATACTACTATTTTGATCTTTTAAAGTTCTGTCTAGTATATGCTGTCTGCATGTGTGCTTATTTTGGATTGGTTTGAGATGAATTATGGTTTAAGCTTCATGTCAATGCTGAAAAAGTTGTAATAAATACAAAGAACGAGTGAGTAACCTTCCAATAAGGTTACTAGCAGCTGTATAATGGAAGATACATCTGCAGCAAGCAGTTCGCACTTTTGGAAGGGCTCCTGAGAAGGTGGTTGTGTACACTGACAGAATCATGAAATTCTCTGGTTGCTACTCAAAGGCTGTTTGAAAGGATACTTAAGGATAGTAGTGCTTCTGAAGTTATATTCATCATGTAGGTAACAAACTTCTATCCGCTTTGACAAAACAAAGCTACACAAATTCCCCCAAATTTATAGCTGTGTAGATAGGAAAAACAGCTCTGAGTTGGAGATGGAAAGGTGAGGTGCACAGGTAATTCCGGAGTGGTGAGGAGAAAATACTAAACTGATGGAACACCAGGAAAGAATAGCTTATATTTACGGGAGTCTGTACCTTCTGTTTTTCATGTGCCTGTATAATAATCTGTATACTTAGGAGTAATGTATACAAACATTTGGAACTGCAATGTTTCTTGTTTTGTGTGATAGTAAAGAAAAGTAGTGCAGATGTTTGCTCCTAGACTTGATGTAAGTTAATGGTCACAGTTGACAAGTGCTTTCTTAAACATTGCTGCTTCTAATTGTGCTAGATGCTGGCATCTTCAGAAACTTTTTTTCCCACTACATATTTAGCTGCACTCCTTTTAATTTTTAGAGAAGCAACTAGTTTTACCTGACTTCTCACAAGCCTTGCTGTGTACTTGAGGGAGGCTCTTCAGAGTCTGTATTAAACACAGCCAATACTTAGTTACCCAAAAATTACTACGGATCATTCTGCTAATCCTTTGCTAACAGATTAATTTTCTTTGTGCATCCCCTGCCTCTTTCATTTCCTTATATGCAAAGGATGTGTAATTGCAAGTTAAATGACTAACATAGGTGAGCTGATCTTTTCTTTGGAATTTGAATGCATCAGAAGACAAGACACATTTGTAAAACTTGGTTTAATATTCTGTTAGCTCTATTTCTTGTATTGTCAAAGGTAAATGAAGAACAAAATGTAGCTGGTGATTGTTACATAGCTGCAAGCAGGTGTATTTGAGGCCTCTTTGCTCCAGCTTGTACATCTTTAAAAGTAGCAGTGGTGAAGTTGGACTGCTGAAAATATCCATGCAGTCCATGTAAGAAATAACACAAAGGTCTCAAAGCACAAATGAGCTGTTAAATGTATTCCATAGTGAAAAAGATCAGATTTCTCACAACTGAAGAAAACAGGAATAATTGTTAGTTCAGTAATGATTTTTTTCAATGTGCTTCCGTCATCTTCATGTAGCTAATGCCTGTAACTATTGCAATTGGACTCTTAAAAAGCTAAGATGTAATTTAAAAGGAAACAAATTACTTGGTGTGCTGTAAAGCAGAATGATTTTCCTATTCAGTTTGTTGCCTTCCCAGAAGTCCAAGTTGCTGTTGTGTCAGATAGCAGGGCTTTTCTGTACTTAGTAGTAGCTGGTTGCACTTAATACAGCTGATCTTTCTATGTTTGGTGCAGATGGAGACTTTTGTATAGGCCTGACATTATGAATTGGTGCTTCCAGAACAAAAATCACTTTGTGGAGTCCATGACATCATAGAATACATACATTGTGAACATTGTGAAACACGCAACATGGTATAATCAGAGATGTGTCACAGAAATAAAACTTGTGAGCCTTATTTACATGTGAAGTAGAAAACAATAGTTAGCTTTTCCAAGGAACACCCAAACTTGTCCTTAAATGTAAACTGCAATGGCAAGTGGAGACCCAAGTTTGGGCAGAACTCAGCCTGCTTTAATCAAGTGTTTAGACAGCTGCCTTGTTTTGAGTGGCTGTCTCAATGTGTACTAGTTGCAGAAGTGTGAAGAGGCTAGCAAGTGTTCTTTGATTACACCTGTTGTGTTTTTTTTGTTTCCTGGCCTTTTTCCCCTTAACAGCCCCTACTGGCCTGTCAGCTGTCTTTGTGTGAAGTTCTCGTTAGTTGGGTTTACTTGTGGTACTTTGTATTTTCAAAGTACTGCTGTTAGTCGGGAGTTCTGTACAGATGGAATCTTCTGAGTCTTTAAATTACTTGTTCATGTGACTTCTTTGACTTAATTATGGATTGAGCACTGAAAAATCAATTGATGGGAAATTCAGAGCTTTCAACAAGGGATTCTTGTAAAGTTGTATAGAGAATTTCTCCTGAAAACATTTTTTTCCTCTTGAGACTTTGTGACCAATAATATGGTTCATGTCTCCAGTTGAATGACCTCTTCATATATGTGAAAGCTGTGCTACTAAAAATTTGGACCCATGTCTTGTTCCCATGCGACTTCTTTAAGTAACAGCTCAAGTACCAATTTGACAACTGAAGGGAAAATTAGAGCAGTTGAAATAGTACCTTGAAAATTTAAGCACAGTAAAAATAAACACAGCATGGATTAAGACCTTGATTTTTTTTTTTTTAATTGTGTTAGTTTAATTGGAGAATGAGTGATTGAAGTTACTGGAACATACGTTTGGCAGAGGAAGTTGGGGACTTGTAGTTTAATGAACAGGTACAAACTGCTTTGTCTAGTGGATTTCCTGTCTTGAAAGGAGGTAGTGCAAAATGCTGACTTAGAGTAAGACTTCTACTGTGGGAAATATTTTAGGTCTTGAATAGAAGTAAATTGAATCTTAAGTGAATGGTAAGCATCCCGAATGTTGTGTTTTTACTGTCTTAATACAGAGGAAAGACGTAGTACGAAGAGAGCGCTATAGTTTAGTGGGAAGTTTATGTGATGGTGTGTCTTCACTGGAAACTAGAGTATTCAAGCTAAATTTGTCTTCTTAGGTTGATGGTGAATGTTGAAGATGAAGTAGTGTAAGGGGCAGCTTTTTACCTGTAGACACTTAAAAATCAAATTAATTTGAGTGGTAGAAGGCTTAACATATATTTTGCACTAAATGGTCTCTTAGGAGTCTTCTGAAGTTCAGAAATAACTGCAGTTACCTTTTTTTTAACCTGTTGCTCTGGATCTAGATGTCATATCATATCTAGTTGACTTGATAAAAGATGGATACACCAGTTATGTGATCATCAGGTTGTCATGGTAGGACATTACACAGTGATGCTAGTGTTCTCTGAAGAATTATAGATCTACATCTAGTTTGGCTGCTGCTTAAAGCATGTCTTTCATAAGAGCAATATGTGTTTGTATTTTGCTGTGAATCAGCTAGAATATGGTTCCGCAGTAGAAGTAGGACTTCTCTTTGTAAAAGGCAAGCTGACTAATAAAGGAGGCTTAATATGAAGTCTTGGAGGTGTAACATTTTTGTATACAAACTAATGATTGCTTTGTTTTTAGGTACCTTAGCTGGACCAATTGTTGATCCACATGTGACAGCAGTTTGGGGGAAGAAGGTTGCACTGAAATGCATAATTGATGTAAATGAAACAATAACACAAGTTTCGTGGGAGAAGATGCACGGTAAAAATTCAGAGACTATTGCTGTTCATCACCCTGAATACGGAATTTCTATTCAAGGAAAATACCAAGGAAGAGTGTCATTTAAAAACTACTCGCTCACCGATGCAACAATCGTCCTGAAAAATGTAAGCTTTTCTGATGCAGGAGAATATATTTGCAAGGCAGTTACATTCCCACTTGGAAATGCACAGTCATCGATAACTGTAACAGTACTAGGTAAGTAATCTTCATGAAAGGAAATGGAATTAATAGCATTAACTTGGTAGCAAGACTCTGCAGGCTTGGATGTTGCGTTGCCAGGAGGTTAAAGAAAATGCAAAAATATACTTGATACTCATTCAGAACGGGTATCTTGATATTAACAGCTTCATTGAGAAGGCTTCTTTAGAGCCTTGCTTTTTTAGAACTTAATCTTTGATTGTCCTAATGCTTTTTAGGAAAAAACCCGTTTTAGACATCTTGTATAGGTCTTGAGAACTTAAACCTGGCCGTGCTGATGCTAGGGACTTGCATGTGTGCTGTGAAGGTGTTGAAGGCAGTGTTAGCCACTGCTTGGCCTACATTCCCTTGTGACTTTGCTGCTAATATGGTAAGCTAATGTAGTTGCTTTGGGTTGGTGACGTAAACTGTTACCTATGCAGTATAAAAGCAGAGCTGTCTAAACTGCTGTTGTACTGTTGGAAGAGAGGTAATTTAAACCCTTGTCTAGTTACGGGTAGCTATAATGCAAAGCTTAAATAAAACACTTTATTTCATTTAAACTACTTTTTGTCCCCCTTGACGGTTTTGTCTTGGAATGCTATCAGAAGGACTAGTACTGAATTGTAGGCTGACTTAGGTAGTTGTACAGTATGAAATGATGACTTTAAAACTTTAAAAGCATATTATTTATCTGTTCTGGATAATATTTGATTATTTTAAAATAATCAATTCAGTTGTTTCTGCATCTACTGCAAGTAGGTAAGTGCTATTTTGTTCAGTAGAGCTGGCTTTCTGTTTTCATAAGTAAATGTGTGTTTTAGGATATTCTTGGTCTCTGATCTCTTCCACGATAGTAGAATCCCATACAACATAAGTTAGATGGCTTTAGTGTGATATGTGAACTGTATTTTTCACCACAAGGTGGGGCAAAATAAATGCATCAAAGCAAGTGACTTGATGCAATTTGAAACGACTAACTTCAAAGAAGTGCTGTGTGATACAAAGTATGTGGCCTTGTGGTTCTCTCTTCCACCTCTTTTCCATCTGTATTACAAGCAGTAATGACCATGGCTACTTTAAAAATCTCTGTGCTTTAGGGTTCAATCCCATTGGTATACAATGGGAGGTTATTATTGCTATCCCTCATCTTTTCTTGTCAGTCCTCCTTTCTGGGATATTTTCAAACCTTCCTAATAGTTGGACATTATGTCTTCTAAATCTTAAGTTTGTAAAAAAATAAATAAATAAATAAAAAATACGATGAGACTCTGGAACTTGGAAAGCAAATACGTGCCCTGTGTGTTGCTTGTTCAGTATTTCAGAATAGCACTGCAATGCATTTGAGCCATCTACTATGAAAAGTTTGTTACAATAGATGGAGTAATCTGGCAGGTATACAGTCATCTCATTAGTAGCTTTTTTTCATAGTTGATGTAGATAGTTGCTGATAGCTGTAAGCTTGTTAGTGACATGGTACCTACCTCTGAATTTTAAAGCTTTTCCAGTTCTTGGCAAGGATGCATCTCATACTTGGAAAAGTTAGTGCCAAATATGCATGTTTGAGAGTAGTACCTCTACCACAAAAGACTAGGCACAGCTCTCTAAGTGGATAGGAGTAGGAAGGGACGAGAGTGCTAGTGCTTCCTGACACAAAACAGTCTTTATAGGTGTTTTTCCTTCTCTAATCGTCATTCTTAAAACAACTTGCCTTTCCATCCTGGTTAGCAGGTGCTTGGCTTGCATGTAGAGCTGGGTAATGCTGTGGGGCTTGCTCAGTCTCAGTGTTTTTCCCTTCTGGGAACTTGTCCCTGCACTGACATCTAGAGTTAAGTACTAAAAGTAGTAGGAGAGTAATGCTATTCAGACTGGTCTTCAGAATATGCGTGTAACAAATTCTTCAGCTTTCATAGCCTGAGCTCAGCAACCACAAGCTTAATCTTAGGGCATGGAATAGCTCCAATCAAAACCTAAAAACCTGATGTGACTTATTCAGCTTTATCTGGACTGTGGTTTTCCCTTGTTCTAAAAATCTCTCCCTTAAGTGAGGAAAGTTCATGTCCCGGGGCTGAAACTGTTTATTTGCTATCCAATCAGTCTCCTTCTTACGCTCTTGGTATCTATTTAGCAAACAGTTGCCTTAATATGCATAGTTGGTATATTTAAGTACATTGAACTCCATGGTGTAGAAGGTGCTTGTATGCTGTATAGAAGAGACACAGAAAACAAATGAAGGGAAAAAAAAATATAAAATGTCATGTTTTACCACAGGATATTGATGGTATTTTAGGACATATCTTGCATTCTAAGTTTAAAGAGTTACCACATGTGCTGACTTTCCTAGTCACAGTTTGCTTACCTTAGTATTTCATGTCACGTTAAGAAGTGCACATTTAGAAGCAGAGGCTAGGATGATGAAGAAATGCAAAGGCTTTTTGGGTCAAACAGGTATATTAATCTTGTCTAAAACACTGTGTTTTCAAACTTAACTTGGTAAACTAGGGCCAAAAATAAGAATGTCAAACTGCTGTTCTGTTATTACCTATTCTCCTGATTACTCACGGGGGTTGGGGGAAGCTGCCACTGTCCTTCCACTCTTACACTGAGGAAGCAGATCTGTTCTGCTTTTGGATATTTGTAGGACTGGTGTGGTTCCGTTTTACCCACTAACATTGTTTTCATTTGATTGGGATGTAATGTTTTAACTGATCGTTGAAGCAGCTTCTGTGATGTTATCCCAATCTATTCCATGTCATATTCTCTTTGCTGTTAGCACTGAGCAATGAAAGGAATGCCATTTCTGTACTCACACAGTGCACACTTAACGGTCCTGGGGCAAAAGTGGACTGCTGCTTGTGCATATAAAAGCTATACTGGAGGAAAAAAAACTTTCAGTGAAATTCAGGGTTGGGCAATGATAGCAAACACTTGTGAGTAAGGATTCATTCAAAATATATTTTCCTTAATCCATGAATAAAACAACCTGAAAAGTTATAGAATGAGTATTCAGTTGTCTGTTGCTGGTTTTCGCTTCAGTTGCTGGGACAAAGCAATTGTGAAGGATATAAAAGTAAGTTAGGTGGTTATTTGGTTATCTTTCAGTTGGTTGTAGTCCAAGAACCATGATTTATAGGAAGATGTGACAGTGGAAGCCTAAATATTAAGTATAAAACACTCTAGTCTAGAAATGGGTGTTATAGGTAGTTGACTAGTTCGTGAATAGTAGAAGTTGGTGTTGTTCTGATGAATGTCAGACTAATGATCAACTGAAGCTGGGCCACCTCACAAATATTGGATGTTACTTGAGCATGTTAAATTAACCTCTTCTTTCAATTGACGATAAAAATGAGGAGAAACTAAGCTTTTAAAACAAGCACGTATCCTAACTTCTGGCACCTAATATTTGAAGCTTAAAGGAAGCATGCTTCTTTTAACAAGCATGGTCAGTGAAACAGCATACTGAGTAGTCTCTTTTGCATCTGGAGGTCCCAATTATGCTTGTTAAAACTTGTAATTGAGCCTTGTGTTCTCTCATAAATGGGTAGAGGGGACAACTTGGGAGCTGTGTATTGGTATCTTTGAGGAAAGTTCAAAGAAACAAAATATATGAAGGTTTTACTTCTAGCTCAAAATACATCTGGAAGTTCTGATCTGAAAAGCTAATGCTAGCTGCTAAGTTGCTTGGATCTTTTTGTAGTGATGGAGATCTTGGAGGTTGGGGAGGTTAGTGGGTGGTACAATAGAAGTAAGTATCCTTATGCTTGTGAGACGGAAGTGTAACTTCGGGTGTTTACTTCTGTGTTTCAGTAATGCTGCTGATAAAGCCTCTACAAAAGCTATTGAAGAGGCTTATTTGGGGAGAATGAGGGAGTAATACTTAAGTAAAATCAGGGAAATTAAATTGTTTGCCAAATAGTAAAACTGTAAAAATGTCCAGTTACGTATGCTAGGTTTTGAAAGCTATTTCAGACAATGGGATGTTTTGTATACACGTCAGTTTGAATATCCAAGCTTATTACAGAACGCTTCAGTTGTTGGTAGTGTTGGAGTATACAGTATCAAACTCTGAAAGATGATGCTCTGTTGTAGATGGTTCAAATTGAAAACAGTAAATGTAGGACTTGATGGAATAACTCTGCTGTTGGCTTACTTATGGTAGGGTCACTAACAAATCACAAAGGGGTAGGCATTCAGAAAAACGGCAGAAAGCAATTTGTTCTAAATGTTTTGTCCCCACAACACCTAACTTTGAACTTAGGAGGTATATTCTTCAAGCACCAGATGTATCTTAAGCATAGGAGAGAACAGATTTTTATATGGTTTTCTATTGAATAGTTGCCTTTCTTTTTAATGTAATTGAACATATAAACCAAATTCAGTGACTGAAGAGTGGTATAGAGTGAGCAGAAGGCAGACAAACTGATTCTAAAAATGAACTCAATCTAGCTGAAATAACGTATTAGTTGCGTCTTACAGGTATTGTTATTTGGAGAAGTATCTTGGGAGGTCTTGTGAACTCTGCTCTGTCATGTTTTAAAACATGCAGGCTAACTTTTTTGTAAGAAGCAGAGGTCTAATTCACTGGTGTTCTTAAAGGATATTAAAATATGCAAGTGGGCAGGAGTTGCTAGTGGCCTGTTATTATTGAAGGCTGCTCCGTTGTAGTAGATTGCAAAGCATTGTAGTACATACTGATGGCTTCACTTCAGAGGGCTCAGATAGCTTAATTGCATCACAAGACAAGGGTTTTGAAATAAGCTAGTATGCTACAGGGAAACCCATATGTTCCAGTATTGGATATTGAAACAGACCATCCAAAACACCAAAATCTTAGTTTGCGTCAGAAACAGCAGATGGTCTGGCTGACTTAGGCAGTTACTGGTGGATGAGTCTTATGGGGCTGGAAGAGACTACTGAAACAGGAAGGAGTCCTTTTTAAAGGCTTTACAGAATGCAGTGGTCTGTGCATAACGAACCTAACCTTGAGAAACAAGCATGCTCTAAACCTGGGGGTAAGCAATAGGCTTAAAAGGAAGTTAAGTTCTTCAAGTAGAATTTTCTTCGTGTTGCCAAAGGTATTGGGGTCAAGTTTTTTACCTCTATAGCTATTGACAGTCTATATCTCAAATTTATGCCTCCATGTATTTTACATAGATGGAAACTTTTCATTTAACTTAAATGCATAAGTTGTTGTACGTGTATACTTTTGTTTATAATTAACATAATGATTGTGTATATACATATGTTAAAATGATTTTTAAGGGTAATTCCTTACTGCTTTTTTTAGCTTGGAATCCGTCTGTATTGTTGCAATGACCAATTGAATGAAGCTTAAACTCTTAAGTCAGTTTTCTAACCCCCGAGCACTAACTTTAAAATGATAGGAACTGGCAGTATAGATTCATAGCTTAAGTACAAAACTTCAAAGTGCAGCAGAACCCAAGCGTTCTATAAATTAACAGCATATTCTCAATCTAATATACTAATCTGTCAGACACTGGAAATGAAGCACTGTAGGTGATGTTTTGAACCTAACCGCTCAGGAATTCACTGTCAGCACATTAAACATAGTGAGTGAACAACCTTAAACTCCAGTGTACAGCTTTCACCCTTAGTAGTTCACATTATTTGTTACCAGGATAACTGATTAGCATGGGCTTTTCAAATGGTTTGATGTTTGCTTAATTCTTCTATATACAGAGACTTTTGAAAATGTTGTTGATTAAACTTAATTTTATCCCTTCCTTAGTTGAACCTGTTGTGAGCTTAACAAAAGGACCAAACCCTCTAATAGATGGTGCAAATCAAACAACAGCAGCAATTTGTACAGCAGCCACTGGAAAACCTGCTGCAGAGATCGACTGGGAAGGAGGTCTTGGTGAAATGGAATCCAGCTCTACTTTGTTTCCAAATGAAACAGTGACAGTTGTAAGTCAGTATAATATTGTCCCTACACGATTTGCAAGAGGAAGACGTATAACTTGTATTGTGAAGCACCCAGCTTTGGAAAAGGAGATAAGATACTCTCATGTGTTGGATATACAGTGTAAGTATACTTCAGGGTATTTATTTATTATGATTGCATTCTTTATCAATTTTTACCTTCCACAGGGAGATGAGCATTTACAGCTTCAGGAAAAAAGAAAACTGAAGAAAACAATGTAACAATAAGTAGATCAGCAAAGAGTAGGAGTCTAGAGTCTGTTTTAATTTTAAATAAGTCTCATCAGAAAACTAGAATACTGTTACATTTCCACTGTTTGTTTTGGATACTGACTCATGGGTGAACTTACTATCCCTGTTTATATTTAATATAACGAAGATTACAGACAAAACTAAGTTATCTATAAACTATTTGGAGTCCTATGATTTCAGTAGTAGTAAAAAGAGTTCTAATGAGGATGTGTGTTTTTGAAGACAAATGGAAAGCATGGCTTATGGGGATTAAGTTACTTTCAAATTAGATGTTAAGCTTTTTCCAGTCTATATTTACATTGCATTATGCAAATTAATATGCAGGGTTAACAGTTGTTGATCATACAACTCAAACTTGTGTACCAGGCTTGTTTAATGAACTTGTATCTTGAAAACACCTGAATATGAAGCAAAATGGCTTATAACTCTTCTTTGATAAAAACATGTTAGGGCAAGTAAGCTTCAGGTATGTGATCAGTATTTTGTTAAGCAATGAATGTGTGACCAAGATGAGCTATGTTCAATTTCTTCCTTTGGTAGTCTTTTGTTTCAGCTTTGTGATGCTTTAAAGTTCCTAAATCACATAAGCTTGTCAATTCAATTACAAGAAATAGAATGCATAGAAAAAACAAACCTTGTTATTTTAGTGTGGTGAAAACCTGTTGTGGATTTGTTACTCTCACTGTTTAGTGAAGCTTCGTTCATCTAAGCGTACTACTTTGAACTGAGATGGCCTTTGGAGCTGTACTTCATTTCTCTCCTTTTGGAAATGATGCTGGTTAGGACTTAAGACAACTTTGCTGCATGTGAACATTAATACTTGAAAGATTAATACATTTGAATTTCTAAAGGATCAACTTTTTGTTATTGCCAAGTATGTACAAACTTCTCTTAGCACAATTGAGAAATCAGTTATTTGGGTACTAAACAGTTATTAGTACTGGTTTCTCTTTTCAGTATTGAATTGAAGTTATAGATGTCTGGTTTCCTCTGTTTCTGACACTGAACGAGACTCAAGTTATATATATGAAAATTAGTCAGGTTGATACTAAAATACATGAGATGCAGTGCTAGGTCATGTTTCAGAACTTGTAACACTATTGTATGCTAAGCAACACAGCAGCAAGTGAGCAGAGCATATAATTCTTTTTCTTCTGGTCTTGATTCTTCCTTTCTACTCACAGCTGTTGGGAATATTCCTGTGCCTTGGCTGTAGGAGCTTATACCAACTATACATAGTCCTAGTGGTGGTTCTTCACAGTGTTTTCTGAATATTTCAGATAGGTCTCTGACTAACCTGAAGTGGCCTTCTTGTTCTTAAGAGCCATAATAACATCCTGCCACATCACAATGCCAGTGGCTGACTGCTAACCTTTTCAGTTGGCATCTGTGACCTTATTGGTTTCTTAATTACTTCACTTTGCTTCTCAAAACAGTATTCTGATCTCTTACCTGTATCTTGTTAGTGAGAACTAGCTCTAAATTAACACAGAATATTAAACTGGTTCTTCTCTTCTGAAGGTCTTTGACAGCATTCAAATGCTGTTCATGGAAAATGCAGTGGGACAGGTGGACCAGTTCTAACAACTGTTTCCCATTTTATCTACTGCTGCATATCGTGCTATAGCTCGGAACTGTTTGTTTCTGCTTTTTTATTTAAAAACTAACACCACTACCTTCTGCACCAAACCGATTGTTACACAGAGCTTGTTTAAAGAAAATACTGTGGTTATTAATGGGTTTTACCTTTTGGCAGATGCCCCAGAAGTTTCAGTAACTGGCTATGATGGAAACTGGTTCGTTGGAAGAGAGAATGTTCAGCTCAGGTGTAATGCTGATGCAAATCCATTACCTATGGAATTGATGTGGACCAGGTAAATATTTCTAAAAAGGGCCATGCCACATAATAGTGGTGGTATAAAATCCTAGTTAATAACTTTATTTCTTCATGGATTTTTTTAATGTAACTTCTATTGAGATGTAATTGTCTTACCAAGTCTCTTTTAAAAAGGGGGTACAAGATGTTTATGTATGAATATTGGTGGGTGGATATCTTTTAAGTTTACCAGCCTGGAACAGTTTATCATTAACTTGGAAAGATTTTATCTTATGAGTGCTTCAGAATAAACTATGTTGCAGTATAATACAAAGCATGATACATCCAATTACCTCATTAGCTGTGTCCTATTATTACTTCAAGATTATAGACACTTCACAATATCTGCATTTTAAAATCTGTAAACTACAGTTGAGATGGCAACTCCTACTTAGTGAATTATGCAACTTTTTATGTTTTTCAAGCAGTGTTCAGCTTCATGTAAACTAGGCTTTGACTGTCTCAAATGAGTAAATAAAGTTGCATAGAAATTCTTAAATAACAGCTTCATTACACGAATGTAAGGTTGGATGGCTCTACTCTGAAACTTTCTGTGTAGCTTTTTGAAGTCACGTATGTATGTGGGGCAAGAGACACAAGATGACAAAAGCAAACAAATCAATCTGTACTATGAAAATAAAATAAAGCCAGCTACTTGAAGTTGATGTGGTACCACTGTTGGCACCAAGGGAATAACTTTGGTTATGAATTTCAGCGTTATGAATTTGTAAGTCACAACATCACAGTGATCTTGTATTTAAAATCACAGGAACACTTACTGGTCTAAAGTTGTAATCCATTTTCCTGCTTGCCCAATGGTAGTTATAATAGCCTACAGGAGCACTCATAACATGGTTTGAAAATGTGGTATTGATAAGATGAGAACTACTGGATGGCAGTCTGACAGGAAACCAAAATATTGCTATAATAACTCCATCCTAGATGCAGGCATAGGAATCTTAAGTCAGTATTGCAGGTAACACTAAAGGTAAGGGTAGGGTTACACCTAAAACAGGAAAAAAACCTTCTGGAGTCAAGTGGGTGTACCTCTTTGCTTAAACAAAATCCACCCAAGCAGTTATAATACTGATGAATGAGGGACTATGAGAGGAGGAGAGGAAATCCATGTGAAAAAAGGAAAGAATATTAAGATAATATTGAGACTGTGTACTATCTTACTGACTTAAAAACAATAACCATTCTTTTTCTGTTGTAGTAGTTCTAGAAGCTCTATCTGTTGGAACTGGACTGTACTTGCTAGGATTGTAAAATGCTCTTGGTAAACAAGATTTAAAACTGCTGTTGATATGGAAATATAAGCATGACAATGTAACGTTCAAAGACTGTTCTATAATCTTCTTTAAAATACATCACTGGTATCATAAGGTGAATCATTTGTGTATCAGCTTCATATGGCTGATGTCCAGCAATTCTGGGCAGTAATCATCAAGGAAGTTAAGGAAGGCTCTAAAGCTGATGGAATATCTAGTGTAGTGTTGGAGTGGCTCTTGTGTTTTGATACAGCTTAATATTTAGCAAATACCATTTGCTTCCATGGTATGGAGACCTGGTGATCACGTGTTTGAATATTAAGTTAGTCCTTGTTAGCTTCTAACAGATCACTAGATGAAAGCTAAGTAAAATGTGGTGGTATAGGCATTAAACTATACAGGTGTTTTAGTATGTAGCTGGCAGCTGTGTTAAAATAGTTCCAGTCCCTCTGCCCTTTCTTTTCTATTGTCCTTACACAGTTGTTACTGCTACCATATACAAAATGTTTCAGGTAAGTAGTAGGTTTAGAAAACGTTGAGAACAATTTTTTTTTTATAATCAGTTGTTTCCCTAATTGCATTGCTAAGCATCAAATCCAGTTACAGTGCTGTAATTTAGAAGGGAAAGTTATGGGGGTGGTGTTAAGAAAAGACAGGTTGAGGGGTAAGAAACTGCTTGAACTCCTGCTGACAAATGCTAGTGAAATTATCCTGTAACTTCATCTTGCACTGCCAGAAATATTATTTGTGACTGCTGAACTGTCTGGAAGATAGTCAGATAATCCTGACAGTAATTTAAATTCACCTTGTTGAACTAATAGTCTTCACAACTTGATTTGGATAAAAAAAATAATCTCAAAAAGAACTTGAAGAAACTTAATTCAAGCAGTGTTAATAGATGTTTTACTATTGCCAGCAGATTTGATGCTTAAAGGATTTGATGCGGAACTTAAAATGCTAAATATTCAGTTAGAGACTGAGAACATCCAGTGAAGGCCCATTGAGAATCAGTGTTCAGTGCAAGTTCACTTCAGCCTCCTTTGTATAATATTTAACCCAGTTAAATTAATAATTCAGTCTTGAAGATTCGCAGCTCAAGTATGGCCAACTGTTTCATTTTAGGTTGGATGGACAATGGCCTGAAGGACTGCTGTCTGTCAACAACACGCTGCAGTTCACCAGCCCATTGACTTACAACTACACTGGGACTTATATCTGTAAGGTGACTAATGCACTTGGTCAGAGAACTGATCAGAAGACTATCTACATATCAGGTAAGTCTTATATCTTGGCAACATCAGTATGTTAACTCTGACTTCTGTCAGTAGTTGAAATAGACAACTGAAGAGCCAGCTGTTGCATGGAATGAGCCTTTCCATAGTATGGAAGTGAAGTAGAAATACAGAGTGAACACCTACAGCAGAACTTGGGAATAAACTGACTCTTCATAATGGCAGCATACAGCACAAGTTATTGTGGTTGAGGTTGTCTCCGTAGAGCTTTTGAAAGTGCTACCTACTTCTTGGTAGGTGAACTTTGTTTTGCCAATCTTAACCTGTTTTGGCAAGATGTACTACAACCAACAGTACCTTGTATATTATAATCAAAACAACAGTTATTAGGGGGAGAGGAGTGACCAGCTTTAGCAAAGTCAGAGATTTCCTTCAAGGATGTTTAAGTTATGTGTTCATTGCAGTGCCTTAACTGGTTGTTTGCTTTTCTCAGGGTACAGGTATCCAATAATCATAAAGTTAAGTATCTCATACAGAACATCTATTTGATGAGCTCCGTATAGTATGGCAAACTTGTGCATCTGTTTAGCACCTGTGCTGTTGGAAAACATCTGTGCATCTATATAATAATGTTTTACTGTGGTAGTTCTGTTGAGAAAGAAAACTAATGTAGCAGGGTGTACGTGAGTACTGTTGTACAAATGTGTAAAGAAAAAAACTCTCCAAATTTCCATGAGAGACTGCCTAAATTAACTACTACCTAGCTAAATCATCAAGTGCTAATACAGCACTACTTCCCAAGGATTTAAGACACAAATTAATGTTCATTCTCTTGTGTGGGCTTTGAAGTTGTTCAATAATTTGATGTTAGTCCTACAATATAGAATAGCATCAGAGTGCAAGTTGACCAGTTACATGATACATGAAAGCAACCCTGTGATCTTACTCTGAAGACACCTACATGTAAAACTAAGTAGGAAAGTCAGATGGATATGAGAATGGAAACTTAAGACTGAAACTGGAGGGATGCTTGAAGCAGTGTCAATCACAATTCCTATTTGGTAGATGCCTGTATGCACAGAAGGGATGGTTTCATTTTCTCATAGTGACATAACTATGCTGAGAGCCATTGCAGAAAACCAGTATGTTCCAATTAAGTATCTAATGAGTTAGTGTACTGGAAAGTACTATGAAGCAGTAGAATTAGTTGTAAACAGAATTAAAGTTATATAAACTTTAACTCACAGGTGTGTAATGGTCTGAAAGCAAATAAAGACAGTTACACTGTAAGAAGTAGTGAGTCAGACAAAAACTAGAAAAGCATCATTAGTTCTGGTGCAATATCCTTCTTGTGTGTAACATTCAAATACTTAGTGTATTTCTGAAGTTTAGGTATGTCCTCAGCCCTGTTCTAACCTTAAAGAAGGTTATTTCAAATAAATGATACTTGAGGTTGTCAGTTCTATGGATATGATTTGCTGTCAGTCGTATGATAGTTATGCATGAAAATGTAAGGCTATCATTCAAATTACGTTTGCAGCCTTGGCTAACAGAGTAAAATGGGCCAAGTCTGAATTCTCGGTTTCATAAAACGATTGAGTTTTTGAAAAAGTAGAAATACACGCTAGTTGAAAGCTTACGTTCTAGGTTATGGTAAATAAAATCTAACTTTAGACTAGTTTGCAGCAAAGATGATTAAGATGCAGTAATTGCTGTTGTGGATTTATGGATGTTGTTGGTATGCATGCTTTTCATCTTTGTTCAGTAACTTTATTTTGTTGGAGTAACTTCATTGCAAATACTTAGTTGTTCTTAGGGAGAACCAAAACTGAACTGTAGCTAGATAGACCATAAAGGGCTATGGCTCTGCAAGTTAAAGGAATGGATAATAACAGCTTATCACTTGAAATCAACTTTTGGTTTGAAAGCTTCATCATGTTAATCTTGGTGTGTGTATATCATCATGAACATCTAAGAAAATATGGGTGACTTTGAGACAATCTGGCACCACACCAGTGTAACTAGTGCTTGTGTGAGTCATACACATCAGTTTAATACCAAGTATCTAGCACTTGGCAGTTTTCCTTACTCTATGTAGAGTAACAAACTGATAAAAAGCACTGTTAAATGCCAGTATATGGGAAACATGATTGAAATGAGTTGAGGCATTCACAAAGTATAGCACCTGTATTGTTTTCAGAAATTAATATTAAACCAATTAAAAAACCCATTTAACTGTGACTCTAAGGCTATAGCTGTTCAGTGTTGACTGTCTCATTAAATAAATGACATCTACTTAAAATGGTGTAGAACAGGTAAATGAATATGAAATATCCATTTTTCATAATTATAATTTTGGCTCCTCTAAAAGGAACAGACTGATGCTAAGAGTATAAGAAAGTAAGGCAAATAGAAAACTTAAACTGCTTAGCAACTTTATTCTCAACTTCACTGATCAGGTATTGTCTAGTAATGGTGAACATGGTACTCGTGTGAGTGTTATCCATCTTACTCAAACCATGTAAGACTACAGCAATGATTTCATTAGTTTATTTTTGTATCTTAGCTGTCTCCCACTCCACAAAAACTTACTTAAAATATTATGCAAAAACATTAAATGAAATGTGGAAACTATCAGGCAAGCTATGTGATCACACCATCTTCTAAATCTTAATTACAAACCTGTCTAAGAAAACTTAGGAAGCCAGCATTACTGGCGAGTCATGGTGTTGATAGCTGTAAAGCTATTTAAATGCTTCGGAAAATAAGTAGCTACTTAGAAATGTGTCAGGATTGCAGTAAAACCTGAGCAAAAGTATAATGCTAATACGTGTTGAGACCAAAAAAGATATTCTAAAATCCTGTTTTCCTTTTGACCTTCATCTTAATTATCTTAATACTCCAAGTCAAATGGTTAGCTATAACAGTAGTTCACAGGGATTAAATGATTGACCAAGTTTAATTCAAGTTAGTAGTAAGTCTTTAGATGGATAGGGAAATAGTAAAATGTTAAAGCTACAGGTGTTGTAATAACTGTTTGGAAGCACAGATACCTTAATCGGTGATGTCAAGTTACTTACTAAACGACATGAAGATCACGTGTGAATCTCCTGAGAGGTGTTCCAAGTGTTGAAGGTCTCCAAAACTAGTTGTCAGATGGATTTGCCAGGCAGACAAACCTTGTAATACAGGTTTGTTCAGTGGTTTACACAAGGAATAAAATTCTGTGTTGTCCTGGCTCTCTGCTGCCTTACTTTCGCTGCTGTGGCCTCGTTCTTCTACACCTGGGAGAGAGAAGTGACCTGTGAGACTTCCATTGATATAGAATCATATTTGCTTCCTTTGTCGTCATCTCTGCCTTCAGCCAAGACTGTTTTTGTTGAAAGTCAAGCCAGACTGGGTTAGCTGGCAATCCTAGCAGTTGTAAGATGATCCAACTGGTAAATTCAGAGCTGCCTTGTTGTAAGATAGATATTGTAAGGATTAACATAACAGAGCTTGTTCATTGTTATGACTTCTTTCTTCCTATATGCACCTCTTCTTTGAGGGAGTGTTAGGAATACAAATATTCTTGTGTTCTGTAAAAATAAATATTTAAAAGTGGGAAGAGTTAACCAACACATCTAGAGTTCTGTGTTCACAACAGCAGGCAGATAACAAACACCACCATAGCAGATAGAGACTAAGGTAGTCACTGGCACACTGCATGAAGATGTGGCACTGATCCTGCCTGATTCCACTAATGTGGAAGGAAGACTAGTGAATTCGTTGCTCTTAATTCCTCAGACAGAAATGAAATGCATTGTTAACTGGAAATCATGAGCTTCTTGTTCTCTTACATGGAATATCTCAAGACAACTGACATGCAATTATAATTGAGACCAAGTCATCCTCTTGTCCAGGGTGTCCAAGGCTAAGAAAGGGGTGTGTGAGTGCAAGTGTGGGGCCTTGAATTGTATAGGGTTTCTTTTTAACAAGGAGAGCTAGACTTCATTGTGTTATTTGAAACTATGCAGCCTATAACTGTTACTGTTAACACACAATTAGGCCAAAATATGTTGCACTTGAAAACATGTTTTCAAGAGTGCTTAAGTGACAACTTTTAGCTGAAAGATAGTTCTGCCAGTATTGAATTCAATTTTACCTTATCCTTACTATACAGTTGGTCACTGTAGTCCTGAAGGAGTTCGGATAGTACAAAATATGAAATGGTTAGCAGTCCAAAAATACTGTGTTCTATAGCTGACTTTTACAGTGGTAGCCTTGTTGGTACTGAGATAAGGCTTAACTGAACTTGAAGATTGTTCTCTGTCTGATTCTAAAGACGGCCCATCCATTTACTTATGTGTTTGAGGCTGAATTTAGACTGGCTTTGAACTTCTGGCGAGGAAAGGATAGGTCTTGAACATCTGAACAAGGAAATATTGCAGGGGGATTGAGAAGAGCAGATGTCAATGGGGGGATATGAGGTAAATCATGCAGTTGGATATTTCTAGTGGACTTAATTGTGGATTTAATCCACCTAGGGTAAGTTGCTTGTACTTCAAGAGCTGGGAGAACTGTATCAAGAACCTTCACTGAAGGGAGAAGTTAAATAAGGAGTAAAAGACTGAGGTAGAGTAAAACTACTATTGAAAGCTGGTGCTGATTGTCATAGAAAATACCTGGGGGAAAGAAGTAATAGAGTAAGAACCAAGTACACTGTACCGCTACGTGTTTTTGCAAAGCTACCAGAGCTTCACTTTTTGCGAAGAACAAATCTCAATCTCACTTTCCATAGTAGAAAATGAACCAAGGCTTTGAAATGAAAAGACAAACAGCTCTGGTTTATGTGCCAAGGGAATGGGTGGATTTATTCTACCATAGCGGAAAGCTTTTGTGTTCTTCTAGTTAAATCACTTATGACTCTTATTTTACTTTAATGAGGGTAGTACCTATAAAATCGTGGAAGAATATTTCTGTGCTTCTTCATTTATCCTTATTAGTACAGCATGCCTATTTTAGGGATATGAATAGGGCCCCACAGTAAGGGACAATCAAAA